GTCTGGTTGCTTATCCTGGAGACCATGGCCCATCTGTCGGTCATTATCAACGTGAGCCAGGGTTGTGGGCAGGGGAGGCAGGGAGCAGGGATTATGAATCAGAAATCAGAAAAGTGGGCATCAGGAATAAGAGCTGAGATTTGGGGCTCAGAAATCGAATATTAGGATCAGAGTCTAGAAATTGGGGCTTGGGCATCATGGCCTCAGGGCAGGTATTGGAGAATAGTTATTGGTGATCCAAGTGATTGAAGATCACTAGGAATCGGGATCGAAGATGGGGGATTGGAGATCAGGGATCAGAAGTAGGAGCTCAAGAACTAGGAAGCAGAGATGAAAATGAACAATTGAGAGCTCAGAGATCAGATGAGGGATTGGGAATCAGATCAAAGCCCAGAAACCAAAGGCTAGGAATCCAAAAGTCAGGGATAAGAGAATAGATTGAAGCCTGGAGATGGGAAATGAGGTCTTGGGATCAGAAATGGGAGATCCAAGATTAGGAACCAGGCAACAGAGGCCTGGGACTCTACATTGGAGAATCAGAGAAGGAAGAAGCAAGAACACCCTAGGTGACTGGAAGTTGGGGACCCCAAACAGATCTCTCTTCTGTGACTTTCTTTTTTGTCCCCCAGGCCTTCCTCATTGCCTTCACCTCGGACTTCCTGCCCCGTCTCCTATACCAGTATGAGCACCACACTCATCTGCAGGGTTATGTCAACTTCACCCTGGCTCAGGCACCCCGCACCTACCTGGCCCAGGGCAACCACACCCCCTGCAGGTGTGCGTGAGGGGCAGGGTGGGGGGGGCAGGAGCCAGGGGGAAGAGGCATGTGTGTATTGGGATGCTTATGGTGTGCCTCCTTCCCTCCCCTTGCTGACCCCAGGTACAAGGCCTTCCGGGATGAAACTGGGGATTTTACCCTCTTCTATTGGAAATTGCTGGCTGTGAGATTGGGTTTCATCCTGGCCTTTGAGGTAGGAGCCCGCTGAGCTGAGGGGCTGACCCTTGCCATCCTCTTCTTCCTCACCTCCATCCCTAACCACCATCTCCAGGCTGCCACTGGACCGACCAGTCCTGGATGATAATGTGTTATCAGTGGGATCAAGATAAAATATCTTAGGATCATACTCTGAGATCTAGAGATGGAAGAGCCACCCTCCTCATTTTCAGAAGGGGAAACTGAGGCCCAGAAAAGAGAAATGATCACCCAAGGCCTCAGAGATAGTGTCAGAGCTGGGATTGGAATCTCCCTGGTCCTCAAATTCCTTATCTATAAAATGAGAGGGTTGGATTAGGGGGCTTTTGAGGTCCCTTCCCATATCTGTGTCTGTGGCTATGAATAATAACAGTAATTCCCATTTCTTAACACTTTAAAGTTTACAGAGTGCTTTTCTCACTACTATCCAATGAACTCTGTAATGTGATTATTGTGATTCCCATTTTACATATGAGAAAACTGAGGCTCTGGGACTGGGCAAAGTGACTTGCCTAGGGTTATATAGCAATTGCCAGAATCCAGATTTGAACCCAAGTGTCTCCTGACTCAGAAGTCCGGCCTCTCTCCACTCCTCCTCTCTCTCTTTGCCTTTCCTTGCCAAGCACCTGAGCCCTGAAACTTCCCTGGGCAGAGAACTGCTGGCCCTGTGGCAGAACCCAGGTCCCCCTGGTCCTTCTCCCGCCCTGTTCCATACCCTGATCCTTCTTCGTGTCTCCCTCATCTCTCTGTCTCTGCGTTCCCTCTAGCACGTCGTGTTTTTCTTCCTTCGGCTCATAGCCTGGCTGGTGCCTGACGTGCCTGCAGACCTGGCATTGCAGGTGAAGCGAGAGCGCTACCTGGCCAAGCAGGCGCTAGCTGACAACCAGTATGTTCTTGGTGAGGGCCCCCCAGCTCCAGAGAGGTCTTTGCCCCACAACGTCCTTGATCTCCAGGGTCCCTCTGCCCTTTGGACATAGATCATAGAAGTTACAGCTGAAAGGAACCATAGAGATCATCTCTGCTAGCCCCCTCATTTTAATTTTTTTTTTTTGGCTAGGCAGTCGGGTTGAGTGACTTGCCCAGAGTCACACAGCTAGTGTCAAGTGTCTGAGGCCAGATTTGAACTCAGGGGGTAGGGGAAGTGTTCTATCTACTGTGCCACCTAGCTGCCCCCATAACCCCTTCATTTTAGATAAAGAAACCGAGACTCAGACAGGGGAAGGGACTTGTCTAAGGTCTCACAGGTCAAAAGTAGCCCAGTTTGGGATCTGAACCCAGGGCCTGTGTCTCCAAATCCAGTGCTCTTTCTACTAGGCCACTTTGTGTCTCTGGCAACAGGATAATAGCCTTAGGGGTGGATGGGACCCATGAGTGTCCTTTAGTTCATCTCCTCCCATTTTACAGATGGCAGAAGCAGAGTAGGGGATTGAAACCATGTGGCTCCCAATACAGCCCTCTTTGGGCAGCCCCGGCTCTGCCTGGGAAGCTGTCCCCAGGGAGTTTCCCTCTCTTGCCAATACAGCAGGGTACCTGTTCCCTAGGCCCTCAGAAGAAGGTCCACTGAGATCAAAGAAACCAATGCCCCAGGAGGGCATCTGACGCCATTGGCCTCCGGCAGAGATGTCAGAGCATGTGGAAAGTGCTAGAAGTCTCTGGAACCATCTTCTGAGTTCTCTGATCTTTCCTCATCCCCTAACCCTTCTGATGATCTTTGTATCTAAATTTTTTATCTTCTCCCCAATTACTCGGCAATTAATAAAAGTTAGTTGTATGAATGAATGAGTGAGTGAATGAGTTAATGAATGAATGACTGACTGAATGAGTGAGTGAATGAATGACCAAGTAAAAGAATGAATGGATGGTCTGTGTCCCAGTGGTTTTTGAGAATGGGGGCTCCCAGCATCTAGAACTTTTCTGAATTCCTAGAGTTGGAAGTTATCTTGACCCCCCCCCCCCATCTCACCACGTGCCCCCACCTCCTTCCCCTTTCTGGGTCCTACCAAGGAGCTCAAGGGAGCCCTCGTACCTTCTCCCATCAGCCCAGCATGCCTTTTGTTCTCTCTTGGCATGTGCCACTCTCTGGACAGAGCTACCAATAAATAGCAACTGTGAGCTGGATCGTGGGACTTCTGTGATGGGGAGAGGTGGAAGAAGAGGAGGAGGAGGGGGCACTATGGGCATTTGGGTCCCTTACTTAATTGGAGCGGGTTGTTGCTCAGTCATTTCAGTCTTGTCCGACTCTTCGTGACCCCATTTGGGGTTTTCTTGGCAGAGATACTGGGGTGGTTTGCCACTTCCTTCTCCAGCTCATTTGACAGATGAGGAAACTGAGGGTTAAGTCACTTCTCCAGGGTCACACAGCCAGTAAGTGTCTGAGGCTGGATTTGAACTCATGAAGATGAGTCTTCCTGACTCCAGGTCCAGGGCTGTCTAGCCACTGAGGCAAAAGAAGAGGGCCCTGGAAGAGGGGAGCAAGGTTTTTGCTTCTTTCCTGCCTGTAGGGTCGTGCCATCTGTCTCAGGAAGATCCTGCCCTGTGGAGCTCGTTCCCACTGGGAGAGTAATTGACAGGACTCTAAAGTCACCCCGCTCCCCGCCTTGTGACAGGCCCCCCTCTTCCCAAGGTTGGGGGCAGGGGAAGTGGCAATCTCTATATCCCATGTCCTGTGGGACCTGTCCCCCACGGAGCAGGGAAGTCAGCAGGGCTGTGAGGTCTGAAATCCTCTGCCTCAGGGCTCCATCTCCCGACCCCTGAAGGGGTAAGGTGACAAGCATCTCGTGATCTAAAGCTGGAAAGGACATTGGAGGTCATCTTGTCTCCATTTTAGAGGAGGGTCCAGGGGCAAAGGAAGCAGCTTGCCCCCAGGTCATGCAGGTAAGAAATAGTAGAATGAAAACGTGCCCATCCAGGCTCTGTGACCCCAGCTGTGGCCCAGAGGGGGCTTCTTTTGGGGCTTGGACCTTCAGCCCTGGCCCTCCCGCAGGCCCCCGTGGGGAGGGAGCAGCAGAGGCGTGATCCCAGCATCCTCCACCCTGGGTCCAGCCTTCGGCGTTCCCATCCTGCTGCTACTGTCGAAGTGCCCCGGTATGGCCTCTTCCTCTGTTGGGGTACCTTGGAACAACACATCCAGGGCCCCAAAGGTATTTGGTGGTCATTAGTCACAGGTTCATAAGATCCAGAGCTGGAAAAGGCCTCAGGACAAAGTAGAATGTAAGCTCCTGGAGGGCAGGACTGTCTTTTATTTTGTCTTTGCTGTACCCAGTGTCCAGCACATAGTAAGTGCTTAATGAAAGCTTATTGCTTAAATAAATAGAGAATGTCAGAGCTGGGATGGACCTTAGAACACAGGAGGTCAGAGCTGGAAGGGCCCTTAGAACACAGGAGGTCAGAGCTGGGAGGGCCCTTAGAACACAGGAGGTCAGAGCTGGGAGGGCCCTTAGAACACAGGAGGTCAGAGCTGGGAGGGCCCTTAGAA